GGGGGGCTCAACCATTGGAGTGACTTCGACCTAAGGCATTAAGATAATCATACTTCTTCATTTTTGTGGATTTTGACACGAGATTTAAATGACTTAAGGATTTAAACGTAGTTCTACAAATGAAAAAAAATAAAAAAAGATGAGGGGGGGATGCAACCTAGCAATACAAGTCAAGATTGAAAGTTGATTACATAAATAAAATGTGAGCTTATGGGTATGCTGATTTTATAATTTGTTTTGCATTTTGAATAGTTTGATCGGAGGTTGAGTTTTGGGTTGACCTTCCATTGTCCGATTTATCCAAATTATGGAAATACTGCACCTAATTTGAACGCATTATTCAAACTTTTGCAAAAATTGGGGCCTTCAGAGGTCGTCTTAGTGAATATAAGCATTTCAAGTGAAGAAAAGGCAGTCAAAGGCAAGTGAGACTTTTAACCTCTCGAATGTATTGCTTTCCTGAAGTCATAATTTAGAATATACATAATTGATTTAAATTGCCTAGTATGTTGAGGTTGAGCGCATACAAAGATATTTATACGGTTTCTTAGGTTGTGAGGCACTTCTCTTTCAAAGTTGAGTTTAAAGAATATTCTATATCATGCATGAAAAATTAAGCATAGCATACTAGTTACACAAATTAGGAAGCATGCCAAGATATGTGTCATTTCTATACGTGTTGAGATTTATAGAATGACTTCATTTACATCATATGATATTATGATATTGCACACTTTATCTTATATGCATTAGTTTAATGAGTTGAGATGGTGCTAGCATCATATTGGTCGTGGAAGGTATACATATACGCACAGTTCGGTCGCCACCACAGTGGTCTGCTACTAAAACACACTAATGGTTGGGCATGGTATGCAACTATGCGGTATTGTTGACTATGGACAGTATATTAAGATGTGTAGTTCAACACAGATAAGGGTGTGCAATATGGACATGCTCTTGCTATGCATAGCAACACCATGAAAGACAGACCATGAGATGTTACATCTGTATTGGTTGGTATTTCATTTGTTCTTGCATTAATATGATATGTGTCATACTTGTTCATAACATGCATATATTTTTCAGATACTTTCTCCATGAGGTACGACAGGGAGCACTGGTCAGTGATCTTTATGAGCTTTGGCTCACCTATCTTGTTATTTACTACTCTATGCAGATCCTTCACGGTTTCACCTAGTGTAGTTGTTGTCCGGGTTTTGATCTTGTTTAAGGCAGTTATGAAGCTTCAGATGAGGTGAAAGAACCACATACGTTGCGGTGGTACTCCAAGCTATTTATATTATGTTTCTTTACTTTCGGGCTACGACCCAAACAGCATACTTCAAAGTATGTAGCTTCTCCTCGACTTATTGTTGGGACGGATAGGAAATCCTTGACATTATAAGGTTTACTTCTCTTCCACTATTATCTGTGATACTTGGAGATTTATCGATATAGCTTATACTATCATTTTGAATATGAGTTTGTTGCTATCAAATGTTTGCGGTTTGCCTATCAAGCAGTCGCTCTTTAGGTGCCTATCATGACTCATGAATTTGTATCATAACAAATACCATATTTGTACTTTTTTAATAATGATAAATGATTTCTTCTGGCTAAATGTCATGTGAGATGCACAAACATGAGACTAGGGCTAAAAGAATATTTCTAGTTAACTGGAATTTTCACACGAGAATGAAATATCAAAACTAAAGGATTAAAACAATCCACATACCTGCTGCAATCACTTGACCAAAGTACTTTGCCTTGATTCTGCAAACTCCACTCAAATATCTGTCTCACATGCTACAGAGTTAGATTCTTCACAATGTAGCTAACAAAGTAAAGCTTTCAGCAAGGTGAAACCCTTGAATATATGGAGAAGCAGAAAGAAAAATAAAGTGAATTGAATGACTGCAATATAACTTGCCTTTCCATCTATACCCAAAGTGAAAATGCTCGTCTCATCAGAACCAAACATAACAGAACTAATAGCAGAATCATGTGCTGGCCATCCAGTAATTTGCAAGCCAGCAGACATATCTATCACCTGTTAAGATTCTGTTGACTATGCAAGCCAGCAAAGTTATGAGAGCATAACTGCACATATTCACTCTCAAATACCATTAAAAACATGAACTCCCAACTTAAATGTTAAGTTACGAGAATATTCTAACATGAAACACTTGTTTTAGCATATATTCTGTATTTTATATTATATATATTTATTTTTTGTTCTATTCTATAATATATTAAAAGTAGACACTTTTTCACATTGATGGGAGTGGCAGTTCCAAAGGGTTGTGACTTAATCTTTTATGTAAGATAATACATTATTTAGTTTTAGTGACCGAAAGGTTTTAAGTTTATTTTATATATTCTGTGATATTAAATTCCAGCCCAAAGCGCGAGTAATTTTACTAGTTATATTAAAGATAAAAACTCCAACAATACTATAATAACAAAGTAATGCACTATGGGGAACTTTCAATACTCATAAGAAAGTTAACATCCAAAATTCTTAGGAACTTCTACTTTATCATTTATTTTATAATTGTTTACTCAATTTTTTTATTTAATAACATTCACATTATTTTTAAAAATTGAGTAGTACATGGTTTGATGTTGCACGTGGGCCAAAACTAGTATATATATATATAGAGAGAGAGAGAGAAATAGATACAGAATATGGAAATAAATATAAAAGTTTCTAATGCAAGGAATAAGAGAACACGGCTACAGACTATGTTCACAAGTTCAGACAAGGATACCAAACATGTGTATCATTCCATCAGTAGCTGCAGCTGCTAAAAGTTTTCCATTGTGATTGAAGCATACTGAAGTAATTGGAGGTGGATCTTCACCAAGAGGCAGGACTGTCTTCAATAAAGTTTGAACAGGGTTAGGTTTGAGAATCCTTATGAAGTAAGGAAAAGAAAGAGTGTTGTAAATTCAGCACTTGGATACAATCGGGACCCAATATAATCACATACCATAGCTTTCCATGTCCTCATATTCCAGACAGTTAAAGAAGCATAGCCCAATTTACCAATGTCACTCAAACCAGGCCTACAAAACTGCAATTTAGGATCGCTTTTGAGGCAAACAAGAACTATATACTTCGTAATTAAGCATGTCAAAACTCTCATTTAACAACATTCCTAATACAGTCCCACAAGTGGGGTCTAGGGATGGTGGGGTGTGCACACACCTTTCCCTACCTTAGTGGAGTGGAGAGGTTGTTTTCGACAGACCCTCGGCTCAAGAAAAGCATTTTACAAGAGAGATTTGAATGAGTTCCAAGAGTAGAAGCTATGATGTAAAAAGAGATTAAAGAAAGTATATTCTCACAGGTGGGTTCTAGAAGGGTGGGATGCATACACACCCTTACCACTACCTTTGTGGCATAGAGAGGTTGTTTTTTATTAGACCCTCGGCTCAAGAAAATCATTTTACACAAAAGGTCTAAATGAGTTGCAACTTACCATGATAAAATTAAATTAAAGAAAGTACAGTCCCACAAGTGAGGTCTAGGGAGGGTGGGGTGTACACACACCTTACCCCTTACCCCTACTTTTCTGAGGTAGACAAGTTGTTTTCGATAGACCCACAGATCAAGAATATCGTTTCACATAACAGGTCATAATGAGTTGAAAGACTATGAAACTTTGAAGGAAAACCACAATACTAGTGAACTTGAAGAATCAAATAGCATAATCACCATATCATATCACACACACATATATATATATATTTATATATATACCAACATATATATATATATATATAGATAGATAACCAAAGTAAGCAAAACCACAATACTAATGAACTTGAAGAATCATATATATATATATATATATATATATATATATAT